ACTTGCAATAAAATTTTCACAGTTTTGACAGATAATCACTGTGTATCTATCGAGGTTAGCATGTGCTATATACTTAATCTTTTTCAATAAAAATAAAAGCAGCAGCAAACAGATCTCTTTTAACAGTCATTTGCAATATTTCATGGAATCTATTCAAAATCACAGTTTTTCCAACAAAACTGCAGCCTTATTCACGATCACTGATGTATGATATGTTGTTGTAGATGATAACTATGAGATCATATAAGCATAGAATGTAACAGACAATAATGTTTATGTTGCAAAATTAAACCAACAACGTGATCACATTTATACGGATGGCATACTACTGTACAATAAGATCATGTTTATGTATATATAATGTATTGTGGGAAGAACTTTTAAGTAGAATGTACTATTGAAGCCAATAACAACACATATATCTGTATGTATGTATGTATGTATGTATGTATGTGTGTGTGTGTGTGTGTGTGTATTAAGTTATTTTGTAGAGGTGGATGCTATTTCCTAGAGCAGAAAATTATGGATTACTAATGAGTATAAATAAGTTAACATGAGGTGAATCCTGGGCATATTACAAGAACCATAGAGAAAGATTTCTGCCAAAGATTATTTAAAAGAAGGATTTATAATTTATGTGATTTGCTTAAATAACACAGGACTAGTAAAAACATCTCAGAAATTTAAAACATACTTTAAATTATGTTATAACATCCATCAATCATAAACATCTTACAAAAAACAAATATATCTCAAGAAATTATAGATAAAAAAGAATAAAACTTTTCCCATTAATAAACATCACAAACTTTGAATGTTGTACTTGATACGCAGTACACATCATATTATTTACAAATATAAAGTATAATAATTCCCAAATAATTATTAAAGTATTTCAAAAAGGACCTATTTTATGTCAAAATCTCATACATCCCAATCAATTAAAAAAAAACTGCTGGTACAATGCATAATGTAAATTAGTTTTCCAGATAATGTTTTTAAAGCAACTAATAATAAACACTTATTATTTGTTAAAATTCCTTAAATAAGAATTCCCTACAATGTTAAGAAGTTCACTCGTACATATTTTCAACACATCTTTGGCAAATGTACGTGTTCAAATATTCAACAAAACTAAAACGTCATAGCTATAGTTATGTACAAATTATTCAAATAACAAGCTATGACTATAAAAAACATCTAAGATTATTATAAAGATTCAGCATCTATATGTACATAAGATAAAGACATATTCACAAGTCATCAAATAAATCTTGTACAGCTTGCTGAAATTCATCTATGTTGTTGCATGTGGAAATTTCAGTGAGAGATGCTTTGATGTAAACATAAATAAATGTATTGGAAATTTCTGAAACAAAGTAAACGATCAAAAGTTTTGAAAAAAAAAATGTTCTGTAAACGAAAAAAAATTATCTCTGGAAGAGAGATAAATTGAAAAATTAGAAATAACCTTTGGCTATTATTATCTTACATACAAATATCATAAATTTTTTCTACTACATTTACTTTCTTAGGTATCTGCGTCACAACAAAAACAATAAGGAAATGTTTTCAACGATTTTAAAAAGTGATACTTGTATTCTAGGCTAATACTTAAGTTGTACTGTAGCTATTTCACCATTTGCTATTTAAAATTAAACAACAGTACAACAGAAAATATAGAAAACAAAAAGAAAAACACTTTTTATATGCAGAATATGTTAATCAACAAACCCCCCTCCCATATCTTAATTTGTTTTATTAAATATTTAAAAATGAATCAAAATGTAGATATATATTTCACTGGTGAGATGCTGTTTAAAAAAGATTCAACTGTTCTTTAGCACAGGATTAAAGAGCACAACAAGGAAGTGGAAAAGTACATAACAGTTCAGATGTTAAAAACCAAATGAATCTTCTTCATGCTGTACATGAAGTTTGATTTTTAAACATGCTTTCATTAACAGAAACAAGCAGCTAGTGTAACATAAATCATACTCAGTTAGGTATCACATAACTAACGTACAAATACTTTCTATTTAAAAGCCATAACAACTTCTAGATATAAGAAAGTTTCATTAAGAGACATCACTCAAATAAAATCCAGAAATATTTTCACGATTTTAGTTTCAAGTACAAGAATGCTAATCTTTAGAAGTACAACTATTAAAGCAGATATGTGAGGTGAGAAGATGCTTACTGAATTATCATTATTTTCATGTGCATCTCTACACTTGGAAGTACCCTTATGTTTCTTAAAAACTACAAGCTGTACAAATCTTTTACATCACAGACTTTCTGAAAAAATGAGCATTTTTTTCACCCATCACTTCTCAACAGAAGTAAACCTTTTTTCTTCCCCTTTTAGAGGAAGAAAAATATTCAATCTCCGGCAGAAAATGGCTTAAAGAACATCTTCAACTGTTCCTTAGAAATAAGGGCTTACATTTCTACTAAAACTAACTACAAACTACAATGAAAAGAATGTATAAATATCTTAAGCTTTTGAAATTAATTATTTGTATTTTAAAATACTGTTGTATTAGTTATCAATAAGTCTTTTAGCTTCTCCCTTCCTAATTCAATAGCAATATCCAGGGGTGTGTGTCCATAAATATCAGAAGATTCAGTGTTCACATCCATACTTAACAAGTACTTCACTACAGTTTCATTATCCATTTCCACAGCCTAGGATGTATAAAATACATAGACATCAGTCGTGCTTAAACATGTTTTATATAACCACATCTATTTAACCCTTCAATTAATAACTTTTTATATACTGGTCTGCTTACTGAATCATAATGAGAATTTTATATTTTTACCTGTTAAACAAGTGTAAAGAACTAAGTAATTACCTATTTTCTATATAAAATATACACAGATCCCCAGCAGTAAAAAATGAAATCAACTGCAACATTAACAGTAATATTTAAAAATGATTTCTTTGTAATTCATATGTTGCTTGGCACTTGTAATCAATGTTATGAAACCATAAGCATTTTGGTGTATATACAATTTTAGATAATTTGTGTTTAAAAATTTGATGGGTTACAATAATAAAAACAAAAAATAACAACAGCCAATTCAAATTGTTCATCTCAAATGTTTAGATACTATTGAGTTACTTTATTTAACAAAATATATATAAGGAAAAGTGAAATACTTTTGGTGACTTAAAACAGGCCAAAAGCAGTCCACTAAAAGTGGGAGGAACACAATAGGAGAATATGTAAAAAAAAAAATTAAAATAGAGAGGGAGAAAAGAGATTTTAAAATATTTATTATACTTTAGAATTCTTAGAAGACTACGATACCAGTTTTCAAAATGTTTGTTATCTTAAGCTCTTTCAAGTTGAGTTAAAATTACCTTAATTAAAGTGCTTGATAAAATGACTTTCAAACAAACAGAAACACAAAGCACAATAGTATGCTAAGACTACAGCCAAAGAACAAGTGATAAGTAATCAGCCATTTGATGATCATTAGAACTTAGCATTTGAACAAAACAGTGTTGATGACCATAAGCGAGCATGAAAAGATTTTTGAATATGTTATTTTTATCCTTTTTTTAATAATTATAATCTTCAGTTTTTATAAAGATGAAAGTATAAAATAAGATTGATGTCTCTAAGCCCATTTAGCTTTCATTCTGCATAAAGATAAGTAGGTTAACTACAAAAAATAAAATCATACATGATCTTTGATACATTTACAACGCATGTATTCCTTAATTCTATATCAGTTATAATTAGAAAAATAATGAACTTTTAAAACACAAAACAACCCTCAGAATTTATTACTTTTGGTATGATAATCAGTGCCATTCCAATAAAGCAAACTGCTTAAGTATATTTCAGTAATTGATATGAAAAATTTGACTGACTAATAAAAAAAATATAGTTAATTAAATCATCATTTCTTTCATTTAACCCAATTATTATTTGACTTAAACTTGGTATTGTAATAGCAAACAGTTCATGAAGTATGAATAAATGGAGATTTCTACTCATTAGGTTTCGTAACTTGATAAAATATTTTTAAAGAACTGTAAAAATCAAATAAAATTTAAAAATGAAAAAAAATATATATTTTTTTACACATCAATTTGAAAATTCATAGAGAACAAAATCTGCCACAATGATAAAAAAAAGTTAGAATAAATCATGATTTCTATTAGTAGATACTGGGGCTACATAGATTGGTTTTTCTGAATATCTTCCAGAGATATAACAAATATCTTGCTGATGTGTGAAGGAAAATACCTATATAGCCCATAGGGTTATAAAGAAAATCTATAGAAATATCATCTACAGATGCAAATAATATCCTGCTAGTCTATAAAGCAAAAGAAAGACACCAAAATAAACTAGAAATCTACAAAGAAACAGGCTAGGATACCCTCTACAACTACAAAGAAAGACACCTTGAAAAGCTGTAGAGAAATGTATCCCGATATTTTTTAAAATTATAAAGAAGAATAACAGGATAAAAATCTTTACAGCTGACCAAGCAGCTATGGTTTGATAAACAATTTGTCAAATCTAAATAAATAAAAAGTAAACCTTACAAAAAGTGAATCTCAAATCTTAGCAGATAGATTCAAAATTAAACTTTTATTCTACATAATAAAATAACTTCTTTCCATTACATGATACATAAGATGAGTCCTTTAAACTGTGTGAAACGCATTACAAAAAACTGTTGCTAAACTTTGTCAAAGGCCAATGTTGAATAACAGATCTGGGATCCAAATCAATTTTTGTTCCAAAAAATGTGTTGGAAAATATTTAAACTTGGACATTAATTATTATTAAAGCTATTCCTCTGTTTCACAGGAGCCCTTTTTTTACAATATGGAATAAAATGCAAATAGAAGTCATTCTGCATGTGTTTATCTGTGGTTTTATTGGAGTGCTTTCATTAAGTGAACTAGATTTGAGTTTAATATAATTCTCTAGTCATTTGTGTATTAAAAGGTTGCAAGTAGCTTTTGGGGAAAAAAAAAGGATAAACAGGGTGACGTTTTATAGACAAAAAAAATAATAATGAAGAAGAAGAAGAGATAACATATAGTCGAGTAGATAAAATGTAGGACTAACAGATTCATTTTCAGTGAATGTGATCAGTCTCATTCTTAAGTTTATTCCCCACAGTGAAGGGACAGTGTTACCTCAGTAGTCACCAGAAATCAGTCTCATTCTTAAGTTTATTCCCCACAGTGAAGGGACAGTGTTACCTTAGTAGTCACCAGAAATCAGTCTCATTCTTAAGTTTATTCCCCACAGTGAAGGGACAGTGTTACCTTAGTAGTCACCAGAAATCAGTCTCATTCTTAAGTTTATTCCCCACAGTGAAGGGACAGTGTTACCTTAGTAGTCACCAGAAACCAGTTTCATTCTTAAGTTTATTCCCCACAATGAAGGGACAGTGTTACCTTAGTAGTCATCAGAAATCAATCTCATTCTTAAGTTTATTCCCCACAGTGAAGGGACAGTGTTACCTTAGTAGTCACCAGAAATCAGTTTCATTCTTAAGTTTATTCCCCACAGTGAAGGGACAGTGTTACCTTAGTAGTCACTAGAAATCAGTCTCATCCTTAAGTTTATTCCCCACAGTGAAGGGACAGTGTTACCTTAGTAGTCACCAGAAATCAGTCTCATTCTTAAGTTTATTCCCCACAGTGAAGGGACAGTGTTACCTTAGTAGTCACCAGAAGCCACTGGAACAGAGTACGAATCCTAAAAAAAAAAACAAAGAAAAGAAGGTTTATTAGTTCCATATGCACCCATCAATGTGAACATAATTACATAAATACTCAATATCAAATTAAATTGGCAAACAACATCTAAGTAACTACTTAATTTCTTGACTTAACTGAGATCATCTCTAACAACTTTGCAGGCTACTCCACTCTATAAACTCAATCAGTAAAAAAAACTGGTAGGAAATATCTTTTCAAAATATCTCCAAACTTCAAGATGCTTGTACTTATCAGAGTGAGATAATTTAAAGTTCTTTTACAACAATTTTATCATTTTTATATACATTGGCTTAATTATATAGGATACAAAATTCTACATCAGCTACTGAGTACTATCGCTTAGAAGACAGTTACTAAGTCATTGTTACACCTCCATTACTCAGATTCTTATAACCATAATCATTCAACTAGTTGAAGATTTTGTTACTTAATAAATAATAATAAAAATTTTATAAATTATCCATTGTAATATACTATTCAAACTTAACTAGAATGATTAAAATCTTTGAGAAGACTAGTGTGTTTTATGGCTTACTTGCCTGATTTAGGGTTTGGGGGCTTTTAAGAAGGCTCCTGAATAGTCATTAACTACTTTTGTTTTTCTGAAATTGAGTGTTTTCTTTTTTTTGCACGAACTTATAATCAAGTCTTTTGGGGCAGTTCAATCTTTGTTTTTGCTACTTCCAACAAACTTTGAACAATACTAAATTATTTAAAATATTTCTCTTTGATAGCTTCAGTTAGTCTTTCATAAGCTTCAGCAAACAGTTTCTTTCTTGGTTGCATTATATTTCAGTATGCATTCTCAGACTTCTAAAGGTTACTTTCCTTCCAAGAAAGCTCTCCGAGTTTCTGTGCTTATGCTGATCTTGCCTTACCTGCCTCTTGGCAGCATTAGCCTCTACTTTATCTTCCACTAAACACTTCCTGTATTTGTCATAAGCTTGATTTCAAGCATCCTTGAACACCCTTAATCCATTGTGCTTAATTGTAAGTTAAATCCTGTAAGGGGTTAATGATGCTCTTTCTTCCCGAAAGGAATCTCACCATATAAGTTACCATGGACAAGCTACAATACACTTTTAACTAGTTTCTGAAAGGCACTCTGCTTGCCATTACCTGTTTTGTTCTTGAATTACGAAACTTTGTTCCAAAAATAATCAATCTTTAGATACTTGAAACCCTCCTTAACATCCATGGAACTGGGTTTATACCATTCTTCTGGAATATCATCACCCCTGGTACACATTCCTATCATCCGTCACAGAAACATTTTTGTCACCTGAAATTACTTGAGGCAGAGCTAGTGCAATTCTTCTAAATGTCCTAGTTCTTCAATCAATTGTTTACATCAGTGAATAGAAATATCACATATGTGCAAAATACTCATTTGTAGACATAGTAGTTTGTCTTTCTCAATGGGAGTTTTTGTAAAACCTGTTTATGTTGGTGCTCCATTCTCAATTTCATAAAGTGTCAGAAAAGTATCAGCCTTTTTGTAATCAGTGTCCTAGATATCAGTCTACCTGCTCTTTATCACATTAAATCTTAAACAAAGTTGACTTTATCACTTCTGTCATCTGATCATGCAATTCATGGAAATATTCTTATGTCTGAAAAATTAGTAAAAAGTTGCTAATACAAAAATTCAACTTTACTTTTAATTCTTTGTAATTTTAACTCATTCAGCATATACCCATATTTATCATGCTTTTGCAGACCATGTTCTGTTTTGTTCTCTTTGACTCCTGTTGGCACATCCACTAAATAAAGTAATTATTAATGCATCCCACTTGTCAAGGATTTTCAAAAGAAGAATCATTTACAGAAGTTTTTACGGGAGTCATTAACATCAGTTTTGCACCACTGTCTTGTCTGGTAACCATGTTTACCTACCTGTGCTAGTAAACATGTATACACGTGTTTCATTTAAATATTATCCACTTTACTTATTACACCAATTTAGGGCTACTCCATATAGTGTGGCATGGGAAAAATGTACATCACTTTTTCTTCCAAGACTTAAAGCTCATAAAATAACTTTTTTTTTTTTTTTTAGACAAGACCATTTGCAGAATATCAATAAAATATAATTTCATTTAGAAGGCCAAAATTTTTTTTTTATGTCTGTCATATGAAAGATTTAATTTTTTTTTTCTCAGACACTCCCATGCTTGTGCTTTATTAGAATAGTCCTCACTACTTAAATTTTGTTTCCAACATCCATATACATAAAAGCATTGCTAATATAAGTAATAAATGGTATGTTACCAATATATCAATTTCTCAAAGTATACAAATTACACTGGTCAAAGCAGTGGATTTGAGATAAATTCGGACTGCTCTGAATCTGCCAAATCCTTAATACATATGTGTTTCAACTCTAAACTCATCCAGTCAAACTAAGAAAGAACCAGTGAATACTCAAATCTTAACAATAATCAGAGCTAATAGAAGGTATTGCTATTCTAAATATTTACGGTTCTGTTAGTTGTGCTATGTTCTCCTTCTTTGATTTTATTCCATCATCTCAGTTTATCTACTGAAAACACTTATCACAATCATCAAGTATAAACTGATGTCATCTTTGATGTAATTACAAATCACTGATTATGAGATATATAATATATATATGTAGCAAAACATTCAACTATAAATATATTTCCAATCATTGCCATAAACTTCCCATTCTTGACTAAGAAATAATGTTGTATGAATCAAGAAAGCAGTATTAGTATTAGTTCAGTATTTGTAATTCTGTCAAGGTGGTTGGCAGATTACTTGTACTTGTTATCGATGAGTCAAAGTACCACACTCAGATTGCATCATTGGAGTCACCTGAATGGAAACATGGGCCATATTATTAGGAAAACTTACCAAATGTAACTAACTTGGCACAGTAGGAGAAGTTCAGTAACCAATGGTTCAGTTCCATCATCATATATTCTTCAGGTGCTGCACCATAGTTCTCCATTCAGAATGTTGATACACAGTCACAGCTATGGATCTCTTTTTCTCTGTTTCCAGTGCTTCAGTTCTACTGTGTACTATTAATATTGTATTTTCTAAAAACGTCTACTATCAGTGAGTGAAAACATAAGGCTAAATTGCAAGAATATGGGGAAATAAAGGGGAGCACAAAAAAACATGGGGAATATATAAATTTTGAACTGATACTATAACTGGTTTACTCACTATCACATATTTTGAAGATTTCATCAATAGCTGAAGCATGAACTGCAAATCATAATCAAATGAGCACTTAGATCAATTATTTTTTTGAAACACATAAAAGCTAAGAATGTCTTCTATTATTATGATTTTATTTTTATATAAAAGCTTTGTTTGTCTATTTGTAGGGCTCTTGTGTAATGTGTCTGTACATTAAACCAAGAATACAACTTTTCCTGTGAGTTTAATCAGCACATAAATTTAAATTGAAACTACAGTAATGTATAAACAATATCTTATCAATATATGGAATGCAGCAGTGTACAATGAACATGAATCATTGTTTGGTGGGAAATATAAAGGGCAGAAAAAAAATATATATACACATATAGACACAATTTTAGCATCTACACCTCTTTCCTTTTAATTACCAAGCATTTAAATTACCTATAGTAAGTACATTAAATTAAAAATGTGTCACTCAACAGTAAAATAAGTACCCAAAACTAGAACAACATTTTATTTCAATTATTTAACACTATTACCAGAGAACCCTTACCACATGAAGTGCTGTACGACCACAACCATCAGGTTCACTCAAATTCACTCCAGCTAGCGAATAAGAGGTCAATCTTCTAACATCGTTACGTTTAGCAGCACTGCAAAACATAAATTTCACATCACTAATAGCTTGCAAAACAAAATTTTACCCAAGATTCAGGAAGATTGATGCTTCATTAAGCTTTTAGTTGCTTCACTGATAATTTAAATAAAAGTTTGAAAAAAATTACAGTATAAATAATAGTGTCAATAAAAACTACCAATGGTTGTTTTTCACATTGTGTTTTTTTTGGTAAGTATTTTAAATAACTGTCAAATTTTTATACACTGTTAAAAAGAAGGTTGCAGTGGTTAATTGTAGTTCATCTTTCATCTGACAAACTTCATCTAAATGTTTTGAAGCTTGTTTGAGGATGACATTTCATTCTGCAAGTGGAAGTCTTGGAATATCTTCAAACAAGCTTCAAAAAAAAAATAGATGAAGTCTGCTAAAACATATCAGATGACAATTATTAAATACTTAATAATAAATATATAAAAAACTAAGATCTTTGAGCTATTAGATCATAATTTTCAAAACAGACATTCCACTTATCACTATCACTAAAAAGAATACTTAGAAAATATATGAAACAATATCATATGAAATTATAAATATTGAAATTATCTTTCAAGAATAAGTTGATATATTTTTCATTCTTTTATATTATAAAAAAAACATAAAACCTATCATATATTTTATTTTTATAAGAGAATAATTAAATGCACATCTTTTAAAATCAACTAATACTAAAAGACTGCTTAGTAGGTTAGACTCCTGTCCTACAAGACAGTGACCACAACTTTAGTATGTAATTATGTATTTTATTTTGTTCCAAGAATATTTAAGATTGTTCTAGATTCATGGAAAACTTTATTCAGAAAATACTTTTAAACAAATATTGCTGTGGTTTGAGATAAAAGTATATACGAGTTGAAAAATGAACAAAAACTATCAAGAAATTTGAAACTATGGTGAAGTTGGGATAAATAAAAATAATGCTCAAAATTTTACTAGAAAAAGTGTTACGAAAAGTTCAGTACCGCAAGACATGCTTTTATATGATGGTCTCAGAAATCTGTTTAATTATGATATATATCCACATAAATACTATGCAGTTCTATCAAGATGATAATATGAAGAATAAAATATAAAGCTATTACATTAACCTCTTATTATAACACATCTTTAGCCTCAAACAAACAAACAAAGATATGAAAGATAGCGCATACTTTATTACACAGTCTGCCAAAACCAAAGGCGGCAGAGTAAGATGGCTGCCAGCCTTTCTCAGTATTTTAATGATTTCATGATAATCAAACTCAACAGCATTTTGTAGGGGTGTCTTATGCTCTCGGTCCCTCATGTGCACACTGGCCCCATGCTTAAGGAGATACTCTACAATTTCTTGGTTACCCTCTGATGCGGCAATGTGTAGTGGAGTGCGAAAATCATAGTCACATGCAGAGAGGTAGGCTCCCTATAATAAAAAATGTGATATCTAGTACATACAGATACTGTTTCTTTGTTATGGAAAGAACAAAATAAAATATAAAACTCAACTCTCATTAGAAATTACAAAAAAAGTTTAATCAATTTAATAATTCAAGAAAAAAAATTACAAAAATTGTTGGTTCTAATAAAGTTATTTTCAAAACCAACAAATCACTGAAAACATCCCATTCAAATAGCCTTAGCCTCTTGAGAAATAAAAAAAATCAATGCTCTCAATTTTCTCTTGGCAACAGATTAGGTAGTTTTGTTTAGGTTTTTCAGAACTTTTTTGAATTTAATAATAATACAACTGAATTTAGGAAAAAAAATTACATAATGCCAAAATAGTTTGTAACTTTTTTTGTATAATACTCTTATAATAAATTGTTTATTGTGAAAACATTATGCAATTATTTACCAGTTTAGGTGATGGGTGTAACAAAATTTTCTATTGTGATAAAATAGCCTATAAAAGAAAAACATTAATTGTTTGTTTGAAGTTAAGCACAAAGCTACACAATGGGCTATCTGTGCTCTTCGCACCATGGGTATCAAATCCCAGTTTCTAGTGAAAAACATTAATGTATATATGTATCGAAATAACCAAATTAAATACAGCATTAGATACTTTATATTTATGTGTTAACTGGAAGAAATTATTTTACTAAGAAATGTTTTAGAAACTTTCCATATTAATATTGTCGTAATTTGTCAGGTGAGTGCTTGAGTGAGTGAGTGACCACAGAAAATAAGTCAAAATCCAAGAACTTAGAACTGATTCTGCTCCCCCAAACAACGAAGGAAGAGAATGTGTAAGTTGAGCCCCCTAGTAGGTCCAGGACAGAGATTAAAAAGATGTAATGATCCCTTTTTCCATTTGCCTAATAGTATCAAAAATTTAAAGATCATTAACTATTAATGTAAATCAACCAAAGTACATCTGATATACATAAGTTAACAAATCTTGGGAATGTTTGCAAAATAAATATGGTGTTTCAAATTATAATTTTACAATTAAAAAGTGACGAGTCATTTTAAAGATACTTTATTACCACATAATAAAATTATTTACTAGTATTTCTCACATAAAACAGATTTATAAAAACATTCAGCTGCATCATATATAATCCTAAGTGTTAGTGTTTATTCTACGATATAATACTTCTACCTCTCAACATTTAACCATTGTATCTGGTGTTTCACTTCATTTGGTAGCTGGAACTAGTCTTTCCAGGGAATGAAATGCCCATTTAATAACCAGTTATGCACATATTACAGGCTTCATTATAGCTTACTTTAATGATCCGTCTTGCAGTTTAATTATTTTCATTGAAAAATTTCATTAACTTCACAGCTTGAGTTATAAATAAGAATGAGAAATGAATAAAACCTTAAAGCAAGCATTAAAAGTTGCAAAGTATAATGGCATTTCACTTTAAATAAAAGGATATTCATTTGTATATCTTAATGTGTACATACTACACCAAGAAGTCTTGGTTAGATGTAAAATTGACATGGTCTGTGCAGTTTTGTCTTACCACACAATGTACAAGGAAAGTAGCTGATAAGTTTATTAGAAAGCAAAAAAATAAATTAACAGTCAGAATATTTAATTCCCATGTACACAACTCTAAGAATGACAAAAATAACTGAAAACACATCAATGCACAGAAACAACTGCTTCCTTAAATTTAAAATTTATCAGTAGAATTTTCTTTGTTAGATTTCCATGAAGTAATAATGCTGCAATAAACAGAAGCAAAAGTGCTGTAGATGTCACTTTGTTGACATTAATGAAACACAAGTGATTGAATGGCTGACCATCACTGTCAGACCAGCACTTGAATGACTAATTACACTTGCAGTCACAGTCAGCCAAGTGCTTCAACAACTGATCACTGAAATCAACAAAATTGTAAGGTCCTCTACTTATTACCTAATGTTAAGAAGAACTTGAATAATTGATAAAAATATATAGTAGCAGGAGAAAAAAAGAAATGAGAACTTACACATTCACTAAAGTTGAACTATAAAAGTGGAACTTGAAGGGACTAGTCTTGGATTGTTCTAAAAAGAATGAAGACTGTGCCAAACATAAATCAACTGATAAATGGGAACTTCTGTTTTCATAATGCTCTTTTTATCTTTAACAATATTTAAAGAAAAAAATCATCATGCACAGAACTGTAACAGTGACCATTATCAACATGTGCCATAAATGAAAAAAATAAATTATAGTTGACATAAGCACTACAAGTTTAGAAATGAAAAAAAAGCACTTTTATAGAAGCCTAGGATAAAAAATAAAATGTTCTAAATTGCAATTACATATTTCTAAAATATAATTTTGTGAACTATTTTATTAAATATAGTCAAATAATTCCAACTTTTACTTACAAACTGCCTCATAATTTCAAGCTTTTCAAGGTCTCCCTTAGCAGCCACAGTACAGAGAATAGAAGGATAAAGAGCACTTCGAAGAGCATCAACTTCCTGAAAGAATAATGAAACTTAATTTCTTTCAACCTAATCCAATCTTTAACAAAGTGTTCATAATTATTAATCAAATGTTGAGTTCCATTGATATTATTTTGAATGAGTAGGAATTCATGGCGATCAATATAATCTCTTCAAGGTTTTTGTACTTGTGTGTGTGTGTTTTTTTTTTCAGTTCTACATATTTGAAGTTTTGCATTTCAATTAATACATATTATTCATTATCTGAAGTCAGATAACATGCAATTGATCATTACAAATCCCTTTATGAACAGTTATGATACAAACAAAACAAAAACTTTTAATATTTGTGTTCTTATTTTGAAAAACAACAAAACAAACTTTTTAATATTTCTGCTCCTATTTTGACAAAAAAACAAACATTTTAATATTTGTGTTATTATTTTGAAAACAAAACAAACATTTTAATATTTATGTTATTATTTTGAAAACAAAACAAAGCAAACTCTTAATATTTTTGCTATTATTTTGATAAAAACAACAAAACAAACTCTTAATATTTTTGCTCTTATTTTGATAAAACAACAAAACAAACTTTTAATATTTTTGCTCTTATTTTGATAAGAAGTTTTGTTGTTTTTATCAAAATAAGAGCAAAAATATTAAAAGTTTGTTTTGTTGAAAAATTTTAATATTTTTGCTCTTATTTTGATAAGAACAACAAAACAAACTTTTTAATATTTTCTTATTTTGATAAAAACAACAAAACAAACTAATATTTTTGTTCTTATTTTGATAAAAGCAACAAAACAAACTTTTAATATTTTTGCTCTTATTTTGATAAGAACAACAAAACAAACTTTTTAATATTTTTGCTCCTATTTTGATAAAAACAACAAAAGAAACTTACTGTTTTTTTCTTATTTTGGTAAGAACACTAAAAGAAACTTTTAATATTTTTGTTCTTATTTTGACAAAAACAATAAAACATACTCTTATTATTTTTTTCTTATTTTGACATAAACAATAAAAAAACTTAATATTTTTGTTCTTATTTTGGTAAAAATAAACTTTTAATATTTTGCTCTTATTTTGATGAACTTATCTGTACTGTGCTGTATTATTAAGAAGAGGGCAAGTACATCAAGACATTTTCTTATGAGCACATGTTTTACAAGGTGATATATCACATGTATCAGTGGAATTCCACATCAAGGTGGCTTGACACATATCACATGATTTGTATTTTTCAGAAAAATATTGCACACACACAACAACAGCAATATATATATGTATATAGCATTAAGTCTTTAAGGATCAAGACTTTTATCTTACTTCAGCTGATGACAGCCTCATGGCTGTGATAATTCCGGTAATTAAATCCTTGTCTTCAAGCTTTATATCCTTTCCGACAGTAAGCTCACCTCTTAAGTTAGTCTGCATCATCTGAAGCAAAAAAACAAAACAAAAAAATTTTTACCCAGTGTGGTATATAAATACTACACATCTCTTTCTCCCGTAGTTTATGTTAAAAAAATTGTAAAGTTTTCTAAGTATTGATTTGTAACATGAAATCAGAACAAAGTCATGCACTTAATTCAGAATAGATATTTCTAGCTTCTTTTATTTTAAGTTTCCAATTGGTCATCTACAGAGTTGACAATGAATGGTTAACACGTTAATTTCTCGGTTGAAAGAATCAAGACTCGTTGTAGAAATTTTGTCTTTGTTTCCTCTATTCTTCAATCTACTTGTCATGTATATTTTGTTTTAGTTCATTCTCAAGTAAAGTTTATTTCGATTTATTTCTATTTAAATACAGCTCCTTTTATTTATTTATCAATTTAATAGTTATACATTTACTTCAATTTTCACAATACAAAGCAATAGTTCTACCACTAAACAACCAGCTTTTTACTTTCAGTTAATAGTGTTTCATTTTCATTTCAATTTAAACACTGTGTCTTATTTGTTGTTCGAGTGTAGATCAGGTAATTATGTGATGTGTCTATCTTTGAATTTCCACTGCTTACATAAAATGACCAAATTTAGTGCCACTGACCAGGATTTAGCTGTTACTGGGAAGTGAATTCAATTTGAGTATTTGGTTCCTCCACATTGTTTCTCTCTCTTCTGCTCCCTGTGAAATACAATCCAAAAGATACATCTGAATTCTGGAAAAGTACTAGACAGAGAGGAGGAGAGCCAAACAGATTTGGAGTGAGATCAGACGAATCACCGATTGATCTACAGAAGTCTGGCCTTTGTTGAATGCTGAGCGCTTTCTGGGAGATTTTTTGAAATACACATTCTTTCCATCACAACTGAATCCTGGCCTGGTTCATCTGTAACAGCTGAAGATCTTGGTCATTCTCATGCATACTAGCTAAGTTTAAGTATAATGGTGGAAGATATGAAGGAGAGGTAACTGATTGTATTTATGTTGCAAATAGACTAATAAGGGGCAAGGTTGTACAGTGAGCTTCATAGGTTGGCAACCAGCATTCCTGAAGCCCCATACTGGAATGGGTTCAGCCAGAAATGAGCTACAATGGATGGAAAATGTTTACTTACAACACCTCCTGGCAGTGGACTCACCATCAAACATTTCACAGATTGAGCCAAGAACTTTCTCATGAAGGAAAAAGTGATGATGATGCCACATGCCAACAAGAACTTCGTATTAAAGCAACTTCAAGCAGTGCTGCTGCTAACAAAGCAATACAGAGAAAGAAAAAAATGTTACCCTAGAGATTAACACAGTTGGATGAATAGCTACAGTGGCAATGTTGAGAGTGAGAGATAACTAAGAACAGTTAGGACAGCTGTGTGATAAACGTGGCAGCAAGGTCAACATATGAAAGTTGTAACCTTTTAAATATACTTAAGAGCCATTTGATCACATCAGCAGATGGAACACCATAAGAAACACCAAGTCTGATTTACATGAGTTACCTGTATGCTACACAGTTATTGAATTGATTGAAATATGCCTGCATGTACACCCAGCAATCTGTATATGCAGAAATACAAGCATATGAGGAAGGAAGAAAGAACATAAAGAGATTACATCCCCCAAGTTTGCATCATAACTTTTGCCACTTCCATTAGAAAGAAGTAAAGAGTAACAGTAATGATTTAATCTTCTCCAAAATATCTAGTGTTGATATATTTTATGTTGTCAGTAGTGTTATCTTTGTATATCCCTAAATGCAATATAATGTATTGAACAGTCTGATTAATTTAAAGAATGAAAATGTAGTAAATGAAAAGTGCTACATCTTTTTTTCTTACCAAACTTAAATATTCTACATAACAAAACCTGTGTACGTTGTCTGCATCTTAATGT